GCCGCCGAAGCCTCCACGACTTCCGCCGCCGCCAAAACCTCCGCCTCCGTAACGACGACGTGGGTTCTTACCGTAGCGCCACGACTGACTAGACAACTCGTACAGCTTCTGGCTAATCTCCTGCTTGGCCTCCTTTAGCACGTCAATCAGTTCATTCGCCTGCTTGGCGTTGTTGCTCGTGAAGAACGTGTACGCAGTACCCTTCTTATCACGGCGTCCAGTACGGCCGATTCGGTGCACGTAATCCTCACTGCAGCTCGGATAGTCGAAATTGATCACGTACTTAATGTCGTCCACATCTGAGGGAAAGAGAACGGGAATTAGTAAAGGGGGAAGAGCCGTTGCGCGAGATGCGAAGACAAAAGTGTGAACAGTCAGAGAGACAGGACAGACTGGAAAGATTGAAACAGGCAGAACTTTACCTAAGTGAGTGCAACACAAACGATCCAACGGGAGAAGGCAATCATTGAAAATCATTAGATTCGGCCGTTCAGATGTGTTGCATTCAAGAGGCACAGTGTGACAGGGTGTTCAATCCTGCTTTTATATTCTGTTTGTGTCTTATATTTGCTCTCTCCTTGGCGAATGAAACTCGTGGCGAACCGGACTCAGATTTGGGTGGGTGTTGCAGCAAACTGGACGAGAGTTAGTTGCAATTGTTCAAAGTGCGAGACATGCTGGAAGTTTTTCAAAATTGTGGACACAGATCACAGAGGCATCACAAGGCACCAAACACAGACAGACAGACTGACACGTGGCTGCAGCCGAAAAAGCGCAACCAGGACAGCAGCACATCGGGAATCGTTTCAAGTGTGCTAACGTCACCACGTGTGTCTTCTCACGCAGTGTGAATTCACCGACAATCGGTGAGCAGCAGCTGGCGGCGGCGGCGGCGGCAGTGCATTCGATCCATTTTGCAGGTAACGATAATGTAATGCAGGCGGCGGCGCAGCAGCAGCTGTTGTTGTTGCAGTGTGATGCCATAGGGATGTTGTGAGTAGTGTTGACCCAGGTGACAAGTGTTGGTGTCACCGTACAAGTCCACAATCATGTCACAGCAGCAATTGCAGTGAATCAGCAAGAGTTGAACATTTAAATTCTTGCTCTTGCTCGACTTTTTTCTCACACATTTCGCACTTTTGTTGGTCAGGTTGAGAGAGGGAGCGCGAGGGCACAAATGGAAGGTCTGAGTGCCTGGGCTTCCTCTCCTTCCGACACACCCGGAGTAGGAGAGACACAGAGTTCACCACTAAAGTTCACCACGCACAGATGCATAAAGGCAAAAATTCTGGACGACATTTGCGCAGGCGGCATTAGAGACATGAAGAGGATATTTGGCGGAAATCACACAACCCACAGGGATGGCACAAACTCACGTACACACACACATAAACATCCACACAACAGGCTGACAACCGTTGAAGAGTCGTCGAGATCGTTGTTTGATGATGCCAACGAGCAGCACATACTGCAAGAGTGAAGAGACAGCGGCATAGTGGTTGGAGGTAGGAGGAGGAGGATGTGGTGGTAGGCTAGGGATACACATAAACGCGCGCGCTAAAAGAGGGAAGGGGGAGAACTAAGAAAACCCAACTGGTCAGGGCAACCCACGCCCAACCTTGAGGTGGTATGCTTCGGCTTGTCTCTTCAGTGGTTATCGATTGAATATCAGATGTGTGCGCTCGTTTGGTTGTGGATTGAAAGGGTGAAATCGCCAAAGTAGTCGATGCCTGCGCAAACTTCTCTCCTACTGCAAATGGTAGCGCGTCGAGAGCACACAAGCGAGTGTGTCTCTAACACTGCAAACACCGTGTCTAACCGCCTACATCAGAGTTAGACTAGTTGCGCGCGTCAAAGCCAGAATTCTCAACCTTTTGCTAGCAAACAACACAGAACGGAAGATTATCCTGTGGATAACGCCTCCACTGTCAGGTAGTGGGTGGTTGAGCCACATCTATCAGATAATCATCGCATCTATCTCAATCTATCTGAACCAGAAGCTCGCGATACTGGGCTAGCCTAACTCAAACGCTGCAAAGAAAATGGGGCGTGTACTTACCCAAACCACGAGCAGCCACATCAGTGGCAATCAAAATAGTGTTGCGCCCAGAACGAAAATCTGAAAAATTAAAAGAAAGCACAATGAGATATTGTCGAGAATGAAGAACTTGATGAGAATAAGGATGAGAATAAGGATGGTAAAAAGATGTTACAGGCGTAATCTTGGCGAGAATTCACCGAAACAGAAATCGCGCTTACACACTAGCCGTCTTTCTATTTCCCTTTTACAAAAACTAAACGTTCATCGATATAGAATGCAAAGTTGAGATAAAGGGAGTGCACGGAAAACAGAAGATAGAAAAAGGTCGAGTGTAACTTACCATTCAAAACCCAGTCACGCTCGCTCTGTGGCTTATCGCCGTGAATCGAGTTCACCAGCCAGCCGACAGCTCGCATTTGATTGCTTAGCTCATCAACTTTGCGCTTCGTTTCGGCAAAAATGATTGTCTTGTTCTCGCGCAAATTGGCATTCACGTCAGTCAGCAATTTGTACAGCTTCTGGTACTTCTCGCTCTCCTCGCAAACATCCACAATTTGTGTGATGTTGTGGTTGGCCGCCAGAGAAACGGAGCCAATGTTGATCTGCAAAGAAAAAGGCGTGTAAGCAAAATTGCAAACAAAAATTAAACAAATGAAAAAGCATACCTGCATGTAGCTCGTGAGAAAGTCCTCAGCAAGCTTGCGCACCTCCTTGGGCCAAGTAGCCGACCACATGAGAGTCTGACGGTCCTTCGGAACTTTGTCGACAATCTTTCGAATTTGCGGCTCAAAGCCCATGTCCAGCATACGGTCAGCCTCATCCAGCACAAGGTAGCTGATGTTCTGCAGAGTGATGCTACCCTCTTCGACGAAGTCAATCAGACGACCGGGGCAAGCAATGATGATCGAAGGCTGCGTGCGTTCCATCTCTCGGCGCTGGCCAACCTTGGAGGCGCCACCGAAGATGCACACTGATCGGGCCGAACGGAAAATGTTGACCACCTCTTTGATCTGCTGGGCCAACTCGCGAGTGGGGGCCAGGACCAGAACGCTAGGTCCGTAGTTGCGTCGGTGAATGTTTCCCTCAACGTGCATCAGAGCGGGCAGAGTGTAGGCAAGAGTCTTGCCGGAGCCAGTCTGGGCAATGCCCACCATGTCTCGGCCGCTCAGGGCAAAAGGCCATCCTTGCGACTGAATGACTGTGGGCGAGGTGAAGCCCTGCTTCAGAATGCTCTCCATGACGCTAGGAGGCAGGCCAATGAGTTCGTCAAACTCCAAAATGGGGTTCATGATGTTTGAACCGCGAAAGGTGATCTGGTTCTTCTGCAGCCATTCGTCAATCTCATAGCGAGAGCGACCAGCGGTCTTGGGGTGCTCCTGGTAGAAAGACCGGTACACCTTCAGATCAGCCGGCGGTGGGGGAGCTGATTGTGGAAAAGTAAAAAATTAGAACTCAGAAATCGAAGCCAGTGGTGAGTCATATACAAACGTACCCATTGATTTGCGAAAGAAGCGGCCACCCGGGGCAGGATTGGACCCATAGCCTCCGCGGTTTCGATCGCCGTAGCCATTGCTACTGCCGTAGCCGTTGCTGGAACCGCCACGACCACCATAGCCGCGGTCAGAGCTTCCATAAGATGGTCGATCGCCATAGCTGCTAGAAAAGGAGGACAAATCCAGGTCAGTATTGTTCAGACAAGCGTTTATTACGTGTTAGAAATTCAGCACTACTCACCGGCCACCGCCGCCGCTGCTGCCACCGTAAGACGAGCCAAACTTCTTTTCAGTCATACTATCCAGGTTTGCTTCAGAGAACTTCGAATTGGTAGTGATGGGAATTGGTGGGGAAGAACGGTAGTGGTGTGGTTTCACAAAAAAGAACGGGAAGTGATCTCAAGGCGTTGGGAGGAGTGAGTCGCTTGAGGGATGAGAGCGAAGTGAGCCACGGCAATGCTGTTTTTCGCTGAGCCAACTCGAGCTTTGTGCACTCGAAGCGAGCCGTCCGCAGAAGACGTGCCCCGCGCAGAGCGCCGCCCTGGGGGACAGCGGCCGAGGCTGCGGCAAAGGCAGCAGCAGCAGCAGCGGCGAACACACACACAGCTTTCGGCTTGCTGCTGCTGCTGCTGCTGCTGATTGTTCACGCTCCACGGTCGTTTGCAAGACTTGCTTTTTGTCATCTTTTTCTTTCCTGCGAGTTGCACCAGATTGTGAACACGCCAAGTCGAGGCGCCGATTTCCAGGAAAAGTCTTTCCCAGTCAACCTTTGACCGCCATCACCACTCCAAGCACTGTCATTTGAGCTGCTGCTGTCCCCAACTGGCGCTGCACCAGGCAGCCTGCTGCGAGGAAGAGGACTGCTGCCACTGCTGCCGAACATGATCATGGCGCTGCGCCCTCTTCGGGCCCGCTGATAAGCAGCCGCAGCTGCCCACGCCGAAGACCCCCGACCACCCCGACAGGCCACCGGTACCACACCGGACGTCGTCATCTCGCGCTGGCTGCCCCGACGACTCTGCCTCTGTGCGGCCACCTCCTGCCTCCCTCCTTCGCAGAGTGCCTCGCGAGAAACCTTCTCATGACCTCGATGGCACCGGCGCTGAAGAACCCGCCGCCGCTCGCCAAGGCAAAGGCAAAGGCCATTCCCAAGGACCTCGTTCTGCAGCTGCCACCGCCGCAGTCGCCGGTCACTGCGGCAGCTGCTGCGGCTCCCGCTATTCCTGCCCTCGTCGAACCGCTTGTCCCACCTCCAACAACAACATCGGCAAATGCACCGGCTCCTTTTTCACCATCTCTATCACCATCAACCGCCGGTAACCTTACCGTCTTACCTCAGCTTCTGCTCGCCAATCGACCGACGCCTGTCAAAGGGCTGCCAAAGTCGACGACGCCCTCGACGCCGAGTACATCTCACGCGCCCACCACAGCAGGGAATCATGTCAAACAGGCGGCCGCAAGCAGTGGCAGCCAGTCCAAGGCTGCTGCGAAGAAGGACCGACCAGGCGCAGATATGGACAACCAGGGTCGACTGCAGATTCAGAACTACCTCTGCACGGTGTCGGGGCAGGTGAAGGTGCCTAGCATTCAGGAGATGGAGCACGACTACGCACGGCCACCCCCGAACCACCCGGACGCGAAAAATCGCGCCAAATCCACCATTTACCTGTTTATGAAGAACTTTCCCAGGCATGTGTACAAACAGTCAAACTACGCCTACGCAAACTGCAAGGACGACGAGATGGTGGACGTGGTGACGGTTGAAGAGCCCAAAAAGATTCCCTTCTTGACGCCACGCGTAAGTTTTAGTGTTGGAAGACAAAACATAAGCATAACCATTTTCTATTTCCATTGTTTAGCCGCCTTCCACGCCTATGGTGGTAGACGAAGACACCCCAGAGCTGGACTCGTCCATCACCGACTCGTGGACTTGTGATATGAACAAGCTGTGGACAAAGGCAAATAAGATCTTACTGGCTGACCGCGTGGAGAGGCTCACCTGTGAGGGCAGCGTCAATGAGGTGCTGCAGAAGCGGAACCTTCAGGAGTGGACGGCCAATAAGTTTAAGGAACTCTTTGCCTCCATGCTCTGGGATCAGAAGCTGGTCATGTGGCTGCACAGTACTCTGCTCGAACATCTCGACTACAACTACAAGCCCGTCTACCTTGACTCGCTGCAAATTCTGAAACACAAGGTTTGTGTGTTGAGTTCTTGCAGTCTTATCAGTTGCTTATTTAGTTTTCTTTTTCTCATTCAGATACCGGACCTAATAAATTGGTTCTACCACGAGCCGAAGGCGACGGAGAACAAGGCCTACAAGCCGTACCTCAACGACCCGCTCTTCAATACTCTGAGTCACTTTAAGCCGAAGAAGCTGCCTCGAAAGCCCATCTTTATCATCATTCCCAATGGACCGCCTTCTAGTCACCAGTCGGGCAGACTCAAGTACTGGCACTCGATGTTTAGCTCCATGGGCAAGGTGGTGACCATTCCGGTGAACGTCAAGAACTACGACCACCTGCCTGATGTGGTCAACGAGACGCGGGCCGCCGTCAACGAGAAGATTCGCAACTCCCGGTCGACCTTCGCCAGTCGGCCGCTCATTCTGGTCGGCTTCTACTACGGCTCCATCACCGCCGCCTTTTGTGCCCTGAACAACCGCCACGCAGTCTGCGCACTGGTCTGCCTGGGCTTTCCGCTGAAGAGTCCCATCGGCAACCGAGGGGTAATGTGCCCGTTACTTTTCTCTTTTGTAGTCACGTGATTAAATGTTGTTTCGTTTATTTGTTGCACTAGGAGCTGGACGATCCGCTGTTGGAGCTGACCGTCCCGACGCAGTTCATCATTGGCGAGAACTCCATCATGACGCCCATCGATGACATGGAGGACTTTCGCGAGCGTCTAAAGGATGCGGATACCTCGCAGATTGTAGTTGGCGGCGCCGACGACAAGCTGGTGGTGTCCAATCTGAAGAAGCGTTTCGAGTGCCTGACGCAGTCTATGGTGGACCGGTGCGTCGCCGAGGGCATCAACACCTTTCTCTCCTCGGTGCTGAGCAACTACTCGGAGGATATAGCACAGCTCAACCCCAACCACCACTCGAACCTCATACCGGCAAATCACCACCCGAATCACCTGCCACTCCTTGGTACTGGCAACGCCTCAACTTCCACGCCGAAGCAGCCGAAGAAGAAGCAGTCGAAAAAGCGCCCCACACTGTCCTTTGCAGACGGGGACGGCAGCTCGCCCATCGTTTCGGTCATTCCCAATGGCCTACCCAACGGCAATATGACGCCCCTGCAGAAGCCGCCTGTCAAGCGAAAACGGCCCTTCACTTCCGCCTCCTCCTCTTCCTCTGTCACTTCCAAGCCGAAGTCTCCTCGATCTGGTCGTATTTCGCCGCTGATCATACCGCTTCACAACTTTTCCCCGGCATTCTACGGTCAACCGGTAACATTTGGCCGACCACCACCACCGGCGCCCACAACGGTGAGCAGCAGTATGAACGGCAACTTGGCACCGGGACTGCTGCCCAGTGATTCACCCGCCCTTCATAAGCTAGCTTCGAAGATTATCTTTCAGCAGAGTAAGTTGGTGCATGGTTCATTGTTCATTATCAACAACATTTCTAACCCCGATTTTTTACCTTTTAGACCAAAACAACAACACTGGANGAGCAGCAGTATGAACGGCAACTTGGCGCCGGGACTGCTGCCCAGTGATTCACCCGCCCTTCATAAGCTAGCTTCGAAGATAATCTTTCAGCAGAGTAAGTTGGTGCATGGTTCATTGTTCATTATCAACACCATTTCTAACCCCGATTTTTTACCTTTTAGACCAAAACAACAACACTGGAAAGCCTGTCGAGCAGCTGCCTGAGAAACCGCCGCTGGCCACTGGCAATTCCAATAACACCACCACAACCACAAACATCAATAACACCACCCCAAACACCATCACCAACACTACCACCACCCCCACTCTTCCCATCCTCACACCCAACATCAACAACAACAACAACACCTGAATGAATTTTTCCCAGAAAAGCTCCCTTGTTGAACTGTACATATTGTTATAACTGTATTTTTTTATCGTGAAAATCATCTTGGAGATTAAATTAAAATTGACAAACTTTTTCTAAAGAATAAAAAAAGTACAATCTTGAGTCAAGCTTCTTGACCAACTACCAAACTGGTAACGCCATCTAACAGAGTCTGGCCAAAAAGAAAGCTTGGCAATAACACGTTGGCTTAGCAAAGCTGACGGCGTTTCTGTCTGCCTGTCTGTGTTTTGGTCAGTCGCCTCAAGTCCCGGTGATAGTGAACACATTTGAGAGGGAGTTTCAGTTCATCACCTCTACCTCATCACCCCACCACCACCACCACCACCACCACCTGAAGGAAATGACTCGATCAAGTAAAGTAAGCCGACGTTCCACCAGCCTAGCGGTGGTGCATGGCTGCTCCCTCATCACCATCGGCGCGGTGCTTCTCTCCACAAAGATGACGATGGTCTCTGGCAACAGCCAGGGCGGCTCCCACCTCGTCACCTGCGGCTCGCTGCTGAAGCTGATGAACGCCAACTCGGGCGTCCGCCTGCACTCGCACGACGTGAAGTACGGCTCGGGCAGTGGGCAGCAGTCGGTGACGGGCACCGACAAGCAGGAGGACATCAACAGCTACTGGCAGGTGAGGGCGAAGACGGAGCAGCAGTGCGAACGGGGGACGCCGATCGCCTGCGGCTCGAACCTCCGCCTGACGCACCTGCAGACGGGGCGGAACCTGCACTCGCACCACTTCAGCAGCCCGCTCTCCGGCCAGCAGGAGGTGAGCGCCTTCGGAGCCGGCGGCGAGGGCGACACCGGCGACAACTGGACGGTGCTCTGCGGCGGCGCCCACTGGGAGCTCAACTCGAAGGTCCGCCTGAAGCACCTCGACACCGAGGCCTTCCTCGCCGTCTCCGGCCACACCTACGGCCGGCCGATTCACGGCCAGATGGAGATCATCGCCACCAGCTACTCAGACGGCGCCTCCTACTGGATCGCCAAGGAGGGCGTCTACGTGAAGCCAAATGAGAATGGGAAGTTCCTCAACGGCAACGCCGGCGGCGACGCCGGCCACGATGAACTTTGATGAGGCTCTCCTCTCCTCTTTTGTACGATACAATTCTTGTAAGATATACCCTTTTTGCAGTTTAGATTAATCCTCCTCCTCCTTTTCCAATTGTAACGCACGTGTGATAAAGTGTAAATGTATTGGTGAAACGCAAACCTCTCTTTCTTTCCAATGTATGTGAAGAAGTATAAATCATTGAAGTATATGGTATTTGAATCAGTAATCCATGGTGCTCATCCGGTCGATGACGCCCTGCTCCCGCTCGGTGCGCATCAGCTCGTACTTTCTCCGCACCGACTGCGCCAGCTTCGCCTTGTCCGGCAGTGTGTAGCCGGGCGCCAGAAGTCGCAGCATCTGGTGGAAGCCCTTGCCCTGGGTGACCGCCACCGGACGACAGTCGGTGACGAGAAAGTCGACGATGCTCTGCGTAATGTCGTCCACGTGAATCAGGTCGGAGCGGGACCGAGGCGGAATGGCCTCATCGTCAGCCAGCGCTACTTCGTGCTGCGACAGACGGCTGTGGACCCCGGAGGAGGTGGTGTTGGTGGTGTCATTGAGGTAATCAGCATCATCGGCATTGTCATTGTTGTTGCTCATTGAGGAGTAGGTCCGCTTCACTGATCGACTGTTCTTCACCGGCACAGAGCGAATCTGCACCTCAGAGTGCATTGACTTCAGGTGCGAGTAGAAGTTGGTCGTGTTGCCCGAGTAACAGAATGACGACGAGCACAGCCTGCAGACCACTTTGGTGCGATCGAGAATCTGCCCCTCTTGGTCGGCGACAAAGCCAAAGTAGGTCCACACTTCGGAGCGAGCATGAGGTAGGGGTACAATCTGTAAAGTAGAAAACATTTGGATTGATCTAAAACAGCCTACTTTCAAGTAAAAGCACACTAAATACCTTGCACATCTGCATTTCATGCTGTCCTTCGTCCGTTTCAATAATGAGGTTTCCACTCTTGATATCGGCGACTATTTGTCCGGCTTCAAGGTGGGCGGCCTCCTCCTCCAATATACCCTCCTGCTCTACTACCTCAGAGGTAATGAGCGTCGAACTTTCCTCTGAAATCTCCAGCTGGGCGCTTTCCACCTCTTCCGCCTGATCTTCCGGCTCATACTTGATGGTCTCGACGGTGCCGGCCGCGTCCGCAGTGGCGAGTTCATCCTCCATCCGGGTGATGGTAAGCGGAATGACGATGGTACTGTTCTCCTTGCTGTTCTTCATCAGCTCGGTGTGCTTGTCCTTGTGCTTTCGCCGCAGGTGGTCCATCAGGTTGGTGGTGTTCCCGGAGTTGCGGTACGTCTGCTGGCACAGCAAACACTTGGCGGTGGTCTTGGAGGTGGGCTCGAAGTGACGCCAGATGGAAGAACGCGAATTCTTTTTGATGCGAGCCTCGGCTGTCTCCGCTTTTGCGCTCATTGCCGTCAAGGCCGTCGAGGTTGTGGCTGGAGGTACCGGCCGGCTGGAGTTTCAAATTTTTGAATTATCAAACTCTGTTGTTTGAATCTATCGATACAATCGAAGAGCACCAACGGCTGGCCTGGCCAGGCGATTGCGTGTTTTTGTGAGCACCTTCTTTGCATCCACTACTCTTGCCTGTGCTGCTGAGAGAGCGCTGCTCAATTAGGACAGCCAATCAAACGGCGCTTTCTCCGAAGGTGAACTTCGGGGCGGAGCCTATTTGTTTGGCCATTCTGCTGCAAAATGACCTAAAGGAGAATGGTGATTTTGGGATGTCTGAGAAATAAAACTTCAGAAAGCAATTGACAGGTGTTTAATCAGCTTGCTCTGACGTAAAGATGCCCACAAAAACAGAAAAGTCTTCATTATTTTGGTTACTCCAAAAATGGCGCTAAAACTCTGGCTGCTGTGTCTTCTTCTGTAGAAATAGTCTAGAGAAGAATAGACGCGAATCGGCGGCGGCAATTCTGGCGCACAGTTTGAAAAAGAAACTTTTTTCATTTTAAAAATATGAGATCGTCGATTAAATGCGTAAAAGAAGACAAAACTGAGCTGTTTTTCAAAACATCCTGTCCTCAGATTGAGTGTCGCTGCTTCAGTTCTCAGTAACAGCGGCTTAGCACAGTGCTCACTGTGACTAAACTTCCTCAATGGATCCTGATCCACAGTTACGTAATGACAGCTTCTGGTGCTGCTTCTGCTGATCACCACCAGCATTCATGTGGGCAGCACGTGGACAGCAGCACACATCCCCTTCACTGGAAAGTGGCCACACTGGAGGTGGTGGTGACGGCCGAGCACNTTTCAGATTGAGTGTCGCTGCTGCAGTTCTCAGTTACAGCGGCTTAGCACAAGTGCTCACTGTCACTAAACTTCCTCAATGGATCCTGATCCACTGTTACGTAATGACAGCTTCTGGTGCTGCTTCTGCTGATCACCACCAGCATTCATGTGGGCAGCACGTGGACAGCAGCACACATCCCCTTCACTGGAAAGTGGCCACACTGGAGGTGGTGGTGACGGCCGAGCACACACCATGCTCGCCCTCTTATCATTTATTGTCGATAGCTAATGACTGTGCACTGGCAAGCCATGCTCTACTCCTATTGCTTTACTGCCTCACTGATAACGGGGAGCAAACTGACACGCCAGTGAGCGGTGGTGTGGTGCTGGTCGCCATGGCCATCGTAACCGGTGACTGCTCNTACTGCCTCACTGATAACGGGGAGCAAACTGACACGCCAGTGAGCGGTGGTGTGGTGCTGGTCGCCATGGCCATCGTAACCGGTGACTGCTCTTTGAGTGCTCTTCACACTTTAATTACTGGGCGACAAATCAAAGCGGCGGCGGCAGTAGCAGCTGAGGTGCACGTGGGGACAGAGAAGGTATTTGAGGTGTTTAATAAAGTGTTTAAAGTGCAAATGTTTCAGTGCCAGTGCAAACCAAATTGCAGCTACTGCGACTGGCGAGGTCAGTTTGGCTGTTTGAGCGCTTTTAATCAGGCAATCAGATTGCTTACCTGATTTACCTGCTACTGTTGCTGCTTTTCGGCACGATTGCTGTCCTC